GACCGGACAGCGCAAATGCAGCCGCATACCGATATTGCAAGTGCGGGGATGTGGGCCCTCGCTTGCTAGCGTCCGCTGGCGCTCGTGCCGGGCTGGCTGTCCAATATTCTAGACTACAAGGACATGACCCACAGCGCCAAAAAAGACCTAGACTCACCCCTGCAAAATTCCAAGTCCTCAAAGACATACTGCCCCCGCATGACCTGCGCTTGTAGCACAGCCGGACATGCTTGAGGAATGTCACTAGTCTGTACGGTTCAAACATACAAACCATGTTATGCCGTATGTCACCAAGTGATGGATTTGGTGGCCACCCTCTCAACACTGGTCCCCTTGCATGGTCATTCTCTGCTGTTGTATCAGTTTGCCTGCACAGCACCACCGCATCGTACGGAACGGTGTGATCCACCAGGGTTGGCCAGTTAGGACAGGCCCACCAAGCACGGCTAGCATGGCCTGGTTGGTCCTCAATAACGAGCCAGGTTTGGCCAGTAAGGCATGGCCAGCCAAATATGGCTAGCCTGCTATGGCTGGTCATGAATAACCAGCCAGGTCTGACCAGTTAGGCATGGCCTGCCAAATATGGCTAGCCTGCTATGGCTGGTCATGAAAAAACAGCCAGGTTTGACCAGTTAGGCATGGCCTGCCAAATATGGCTAGCCTGCTATGGCTGGTCATGAAAAACCAGCCAGGTTTGACCAGTTAGGCATGGCCTGCCAAATATGGCTAGCCTGCTATGGCTGGTCATGAAAAACCAGCCAGGTTTGACCAGTTAGGCATGGCCTGCCAAATATGGCTAGCCTGCTATGGCTTGCCATGAAAAACCAGCCAGGTTTGACCAGTTAGGCATGGCCTGCCAAATATGGCTAGCCTGCTATGGCTGGTCATGAAAAACCAGCCAGGTTTCGTCTCGCAAGTTTGGCCAGCCAGGTTTGGTTAGCCCAGGCTGGTGGGTCCAAAGTTTTCCAAGATATGTATGGCCATCCATATGTGGCCAACCTTTGGGGGCCAGCCAGGCATGGGCACTCCAGGCAGTCAGTCCATACCTGTTTGTAAAGGTTGCAGCATTGGTTGCCTGCTGTGTGGTCATGGGAGTGCCTCCGAGAGTGGATCTACACGGCATCCCCATGCTCATCTGCTCTGCCCCTTGTACCCGCTGGGGCTGATCTACAGATGTCGTTCCCTCCTCCTCGGTTGCTGCATGCAGGCCATCACTCCCATAATGCACAGCAGAGGCGCTATCCCCCCCCCTCGAGCCAGGCTCCTCGCCTGCATGCCCCGGCGTTGGAGATGTGACAGCAGCAGGTGGCAGCAATCCATGCATTGCCCTCTCAGTTACTTCGCCCGACGCCTCTGCTGCCCCTGCCCGCACGCCTGCAGTGAGAAAATGAGTTTGATTAGCATAGAGTTTCAGTACAGGGCTTTATGTGGTGGATATTTTCATCGTCAACTCAGGCCTTTATTTTTCAAAGCTTGTGTCCCCCGACTGTCAAAATGTGCCATGCAGGCCACTGCACTCCCATTTTTTTGCTAACCAACATGCCCTCTTTGTCCATGGTTCCCTACTGCTTACGTTGTTGTTTGAGGGCAGCATATTTCTCGCCGTGCCGCGCTCCTCCCCACCCGAAGCCTGCATCGGGCCGCAGGGTTTTCTGCAGTGTGAATGAGTGTGTAGGGAACCAGTACTGCAATCCCTCGATTTTGGTTGCATCGTTCTCCAGAACGTCGGCGGCGTTGTCGATATGCCCGTCCACATTCTCTTGGAAAGACTTCATGTATGCGTCCAGGTGCTGCTGCACGTCCGCTTCTGCCTCAACTCCCTTTGTGCCTGTGCGCAATCGTTTTCAGGGATATCGTGGTGTGGAATCTAGGGGGTGTTGGTAGGGCAATCCCCACCCCCCTCTCTGGCCAGATGCAGCAATGTACAGAACAGTCGCGCTGCAATTTGCCAATGAGGGGTTTGGCGTGTGAGAATGCCCCACGTGCACCAATCGCAGCCTGTAGCAGAGTTGTAGTCACCTCTGGTGCTGACTTGATGTACACGAAGAGTAGATCCCCCAGTGTTGCTTCCTGCCACTTTCCCATTAATGATGAGAGCCCGCAGAGGGCAAATGAGATTACGGGGTGCATGTTTTTTGAAAGACTGTGCATCCTCTTGTCGAAGGCTTTGCTGAGCTCTAAGACCGGGTGCGACGCTTGGGTGCCTATTGCTGTCTGAGCCGCCCCTGTTTTGTTTCTTCTCTTACGTCTACCCATCGATCGTATTCTTGTTCTCTGCTCCCAACCACGTCACTCCCACAATGTCGCCCCAGGGCTTTTTGGATTTGCAGTCTGCTACCGTGCAGCTGGCTGGCAGCTGCAACTCAGCGCCCTGCCGCTATATCGCCTATGCTCCACTGAACTGCGAGGTTGTTTCATCGCATTGGTAGGCGCCTTCTCCGATATGAATGCGCACATGTTTCGTCACTGTGTCTAGCACCTATTCTCTCTGCTTCTCTCGCACCGTCTTCCACTCTGTGATAGACGCCTATTCTATGCTGAAGTTTGCGTCTATTTTCATCGCAAAAAAGTGGCAATCTAAAAACCATTCGAGGTGGAGCGAGGATGCCGACTATCTGCAGAACATTCAAATACCATTCGCAGAACGCTTGCGTAGCATTTGGCGGGGTGTAAATGTAAAATGTATGTTTCCTAAATGATACGATTTCTAAACCCTATGATTTCCAAGCGATAAGCGTTTGTCCAATCGTAGTACACTCGTGGTTTTTTTTGTTATATTCGAACATAATTGTTTATTTTTGAAATAAAACATGTGTGGGAAATATATAAGATAGGGTTTGTTGATATATTATTAGTGGGGTCATCACCTGCTACGAACATTGTGAATGATTGTCGTTGCAAACTAAAAGTATCATGTTCAGTACGAGTCACTCAATGGTCAACCTCTAAAACAAGGTCAATTTAAACAAAGTCATGCATAAATAAGAGCGCAACCAGTGGTTCAGAAAAGAAACCGGTTAACGAGCCGGTACTTCGGGTCCGTGCAGCACGGAACCACATGTGCAAGGCTCAGGATGCTGTCCACATCCACAACAGCATAGTTGTCGATGCCCAAGGTTGGCGTCAGGCGCTTGCACCCGGTGATGGGGCAAGGCTTCTTCGCCTCGGTGTAGTACTGGATGAACGCCCCGCGCTTCTCCACCTCCCCGTCCTGGTAATGGAAAAGCACCAGGACACGACCATACCACGGCTCCCCCACGCCGCCGCCAGGCCTGATCGAGACGTCAGAGAAGAGGTGCTCGTGAGGGCTCGCCTTCACGAACTGGCCCTTTGAGGTCCACTCCATGCTGTCATGGGGGGGGATGGCCATGGCTGTGTGGACCTGGGTTTAGGGTAGGGGCCAATGGGGGGAGTTCAGGGAAGGGGAGGTGGGTGGGTGTAGAGAGGGGGCACGAGTGTGCCTTGAATTATCGTAGATGGGAGGGCAGCGCTTGGCATGGAGGCATGGTACCATGGCACAGGATATTCATCTTGTATGTTTAGACGGATTGAGCTCAGGAGGGGATAGAGGGGAGACGTGGACAGAGGGGCCACGGTAGGGTTTAGGGTGTGGAAAAAGAGAGCCCAGTCCCACCAAATTGCTGCCATTCCATGCCATTCACTGGCCAAACCCCACCAATCCCACTGTTACCGCTCCCAAGGCCCCCTCCCCGTCCCACTTGACTCATTCCTTGCTATTCCCTGACTCTCTCTCCAAATCCTGCGAGAGCTTCTTGCTGTTCGCGGCCCTTTCCCTCCCACTCCCACTCCCATTCTCAGTGATTCCTTCCTACCCCGTTCCCTCCAATTCCCTCCCATCCCCGTGCATTCCCTCCTATTTCCTCCCATCCCTATCCATGGCCTCCCATTCCCTCCCATCTCTGTCCATACCCTCCCATTCCATTTATTAAATGGGACCCTAAGAGCTGAGGTAGCCAAGTAGTCAATGCAGTCTCCCATTCCATGCCATCCCCATCCATTCCCTCCCATCCCTGGGATACCCTCCCATTCCATGCCATCCCCGTCCATTCCCTCCCATCGCTGTTCATACCCTCCCATTCCATGCCATCCCCATCCATTCCCTCCCATCGCTGTCCATACCGTCCCATTCCATGCCATCCCAATCCATTCCCTCCCGTCCCTGTCCATACCCTCCCATTCCATGCCATCCCCATACATTCCCTCCCATCACTGTCCATTCCGTCCCTTCACCTTCCAAGCCATACCACTCTCTCCCACTCACGGACATCTCCTCCCACCCCCTCCCACACATCCCCATTCCTTGCCATAAGGTGCCCAGTCACCCTGCCACTCCCTATTCTATGCTGAATTGCGAGTCTTTTTCGTCTCAATGCTTGGCGCCTATGATCAATGCGCATCTATTTCTTCACTGAAGAAAAATTACCGCTGCAAAATTCTACCCACATGATGTGCACAGGTATCGTCGGGGTATCCCCCATGAGGGTAACCCTCGTGTCGCTGTGCACCAGTCCCCCGTGTCCCACTCGGCCAAAACTCCATTCGTTGTGACCCGCAGGTGACCAGCATGGGGTAACGTGCGTGTCACGTATTTGACGGCCACAGGAATCCTGAGGGACACATCAAACCGCAGCGCGTTCGCCTTTGAAACTCCACGCAAAATTGTGTTACTGCCCCTACACCAACAATACTCTTTGCGATTTTCGTACAAAAATGTGCAAACAACACCATTAATTATCATATGCGTTTAGCAGTGTTTCGGCACGGACTACAAAACGCGACAAGCGGCGTTCGTCGTGTAGTGAAATCTATGTTGACGTAGTATAATATATTTATTTTGGCACCGCCATTGGAACACGACAACAACGGGGGTCATTATACCCGTCTTGGAGTAACGCAATTATAGATACATCAAACGGGGGGTACGCGTACGAAAATGCTATGATCATGTTTTTGTGACAAAAACGGGTACAGCCGTCATTGAAACGTGACAACAACAGGTATGGTTAATCTGGCAGGGGGCGCTTCGATAATCGAAAAAATCCCCGACTGGTGTATGCGTGCCTAAACATATACAGCTTTGATCACCAAATCCGTGCCACCAATTTCCTAAATTCTAACGAATGCAGGCTGCGACCTGTGTACGTCGCAGGGTTGCGCCGTATAAACCAAGGCACTCAACGCACTGCATTCGACTCTTGCCGAGGCACCAAGCTTGGAGTCGCTCCAAACACATTCACAAGATCCACCCTGGCCAGATAGCAAATAACAAACGAAACCCACAATAATTGTGGTCCAAGCGCCTGGAACGGAGCACGTAGGCAAGAATTACCACTGCAAGTGGCTTCGGGACAGAACTACGGTAGTTGTGTGCCTCAGCTAAAGTAGCCAAATCACCCCGAACTCAAGAAACTAGGCTCAATGTGTCGCTAAGCACGCACGGCGGGCAACCCGTCCGTCACTAGACTGCGCATGAACCTGCACATCTCGAATGATAGCAGAGGAAATAACGAGAGGAATTAGGCCGGGATGGAAAACACGGATCCAGGGGAGAAGAGTGCGCAGGGTAAATGGGGGGTAGAGGGAGGGGCAGGGGCGCGAATGAGTGACAGTCCAACTCTGAGCCATATGCCCATCCCTACACATCCCCTGCCCAGCATCAACTTCCCCCTCCCCCCTCCCTGCCCCCCCCACCCACTATTCCCCCCCAAACACGTCCCCGCAGCCCCTCCCCACTGGCCCTTACCCGTCCATGCCACGCATGTGCTCTTGCACCCGTCCCAGAGACGAGAACAGGTTGAGCTCAGACACCTCTAGAGTCGTGCCTGGAGGGGGAGGATGTGCGGCTGGGGGTGGTGAGGTGGGGATGGGGGGGGGGGGGGGGAAGTTGGGGGCGGATGTTTGGGGAGGCCATGTATGAAACAGATGCAAACGAGTCGAGGGACGCTCTCGGGAATGGGAAGGAAGTGTATGGGCAGTTGAACCTAAGAGATTTGGGGTCATGGTTACGAAACAAACAAATACGTGAACGACAGCACAGAATGTAGCTCACCAGAAGATCACGATGCATCTAACACTCCCACCACCTCACTCCGTCAGTTGACCGACAAAGGCTGCCAGAATTGGTGCGATCCAGCTTGCCAACTGAGCAACGGCCCTGTGAGACATGAGAAAATGCATGTTCAACCTGGGGGGCGTTAGGTGGAGGTTTCAGGAGAAGAAGGTTATCATAGAGGGCCATATTGCAACCTTGTGGAGTAAAACATAGACAGCAGTAGCCAAACCATGCCGCAGGAAAGGGAGAAAACCAGCAAACGACAAAAAAGGACTAAACGCCGCAGGACGACATTGAGGGGGAAAATGCGGACATACTCCCAATCTGTAGGCTTGTGAGCCGACTATGGACACACTCAGGAGTCCGTCCTGCTGGCTGGGTGTCTTCTGTGCTCTTCAGGGTGGAGAACTGGGCGCCTGCTTCCGCCTGTGGTCGGAGCCACTCCGCAGTCGCCAACACCGATCCACGACTGCCTGCGCCACTCATGCTGGCATCCGCTGGCGGAATCCACGATTGCGAACTAGGCATAAGGCGAGAATAAGGTTAAAGCAAACAATGGCAAGACCGGGGGACTCGACGAGAAGACACAGGGGCAGAAAGTTGACATGGGCTTACGGAAAGACCACAACGACAGTGTTACACGCTTGTGTGATTTTTTTAGAGAACGCGGAGGCAGACCTATCATCACTACTACTAGCATTGCTGCGACTCGCAAGACATACCTGGGGTGATCGGGACTCGAACTGGAGACCATCGAAAGCCGGAGCACACCGTGGGTCGGCAAGACGACGACTAAGAGCAGCACGAGCAGCGCGGCCAGTCGTGGGGGCAAAGGGGGAGGGGGGACGACCAGCACGCGGCAGCGTTAAGGAAGCCTGGCGACCGGCGGACCGGAGAGAGGGACGGAGAACGCGACGTCCAATAGCTCTCGCGGGCGCACGAAGGGGTCGACGCCATCACACTAGTTCAGGCGCGGACAGCTGTCTTGACAGGAGAGGGGAAGAGTAGAACTTGTAGTCCTGAGACTCGCAGATATGTGCGATCTTGCCTTGGGCACAGCTCCACCAGGGATTGATGCTATTGTAAAACGAGCGGCGACGAGCGGTAAAAGCAGGACGCCGGCATAATGTGACTAAAGGTTTCGGTCTGCCAGGCACTAAGAGAAAACCACGCAAAGTGGGGAGAAGCAGCACCCTGTGCTATGCGTACAGTGCCAGTCCAAAGCAAGATAGGTGGAGTGGGTGGGGAAGCAAAAACATGAGATAGCGCTGACCCTGTAAGTGTCGAAGTATGCAACTGCGGAGGGGGTGGACCAACTAAAGAACAAATCGACTAGGCTGAGCGAGAGGATAAGGGTGTGCCCAATCAGCAGCGATGGAGGGTGTGATAGAGTCGACCGAAATTCGGTATGCCACGTCAACACGTACATGACTGTACTGTCTGGTACCTCGCAACCAGCGAACACGATAAGGGAATCAGAAAACTTAAGTGTAACGTCAACCAGAAGCACTATAAGTGGTCACACCCAATTAAGCGCTTGATGGAGCTGGAACAACCCCCTAACACAATGCCAAACAGCACCACAACAAAGCAAATTAACAAGACTGATAATTCCGCGTACAACATTTCCTTTTATGATACATATTTATGTGCATTCATGCATTGAGACGAACAACGCCATGTCAAAAAGGGTTTGCACATGCCACATTCCAGATCCCGCCCCCAATTTCCATTGCTATCCCATGCCCGCAGGACCAAATTTAGGAGGCTCATCCTCCACACCACGCCCCTATAAGCCTCTAGTAGAACTACAGTACTCCCCCCTTTGAGTTAACTACCTTGGTCCCTCCTTTGCCAACACCTGTAGCAAGACGTCTATGCTGGTGGGGCATCAGCAGAAAGTGCGACCCGGTCGATGCCTTCCGTGTCCTCAATACCGTCGGTATAGATGAGGATAGCAGGTTCCGCGGAGAACGCCCACGCCTTGTTTTCCTCTTTGTACCATGGCCCGCTGCCATTCACCGAGGGAGCCATGATGGCCGCCCTGCACCATGCGGTCACCTTCTTCAAGTAGTCAGTGGTGAGCCTGGCGTTCTTGACTGCAGTGTGCTCCAGATCCTTGCCATTATGGAGAATGCGGTGCTCCACCTGCGGCACGGCAACAAAGGTGGGGCAACAGCTTAGATAAAAGTAGAAACTAAACCATATCCGCGCCAAGAACGCCGAGCTCTCATGAGCGCCACTCACCCCCATCAAGAAAAATGCGATGTGGTAAAGCTTAACGATGATTGGGGGGGGCTTGTACTTGAAGAAAGCCACCATGATTCCTGACTCAAAGGCCTCGTGGGCGAATGGCAGACCATTGAACACGTGCCATATCAAAAGGCCAAAACTTTTCTCATCTGCAACATGTGGCAATGCAGGAGACAACAAAAAAGAAAGTGAGTGGTGTTCTAAGCCAGAGAGGGCATCAAGCCAGGACAGCCATGACAATGAGGGCGGCACGCCCCACCAGCCATGGCAATGAGGGCAGCAAGCCCACCCAGCCGTGGCAACGAGGGCAGCAAGCCCACCAATTTTACAGCTCCAATGTTGGGGTCGAGTCGCGCACCAACCCATCACCCATCAATCGACACTCCAAATGCCAAGCGAGGGTGGGTGATTTGGCGTCTACGTGTAAAATCCACGCGATATTGGGTTCCCCCATGTGGTTCCCACCCCCACGTTCGTAGTTACGCGATTGGCTGTCAAGTTGAACTTTGATGAACCTCTTGTAGAGTTATCGTTGCGATGATTACACGTGGATTGCAGATTGGTTTGCGAGGATAGGGCGTGAGGTATCAAGGAATTGATTCCGCCATCCTCGCTGTGAATTAGGCAGGGCTACCTCTATAAGCACGTCTCGCCATGCTGTGCAATTTCGACGAACTATTTGACTGATGCCAAACCGCGCCCTCTCTTGCCGAGTGTGCTGTATCGAATCGCTAGCAAGCCAAGGCAATCACCCCTTGGCACATCACATCTCCGCATTGATGTGAACCCTAGTTACGTATCACGCATTCAGATGCTAGAGATGGGTTGTGTAGGAGGGAATTTCGCTTAGTTTCAGCTCCCGCGCTGCCAACATTAACGGTCTCGTCTCTGACGCACACATGGCTTATTGCCTCCGCAGGTTTAGGTTGTGCATCATGGCGATCCTGCAGTTTCTCGAAGTCCTATCTCTCACGTTTTTTTCGGACTGGCACATCGCGGCACAGAGGAGGCTGAGACTTCTGTTGCTAGAGCAGTATAAGTGGCCTCCAGCGCGGGTCGTCGTGTCTGATCTCTGTTGCATACACCAGCCTAGTACCCGCCCGTCTGTAAACAGCCCTTGCCGTCCGCACCTGAGGCTCCCAGCCGCTTCTCAATGCACGCAGTTTGCTGCTGTGTCGATCCCTCAGGCAGCACGTGAGTACAAACTATTTCGGTGCTCACATCATGGGCTGGGTATGCGAATTCTGCAACCTTGTATTCCCTGACTACGCCTCGCGAGACTCGCACCAGCGGATTTTCGACTCGTGCAGGGAAGCACGGAGCCAGTGCGTGAACAATGGCCAGACTGTCGGCCCTTACTTTCATGGGGGCGACCCTGGCCCGCCAGCATACTCGGAGGGCAGCCCTCGGCCGGATCTACCGCGTGCAGGGTCGCCCTCTGAGGTCCGGCTTGTCCCCCCGGAAGCAGCTGCACAACCAGATGGATGTGCTAGTGGAGCCGCCGGGGCACCGGCGGCGGGTAGCATGGCCACTCCAGGACGTGATGATCCATCTGATCATGACAGTGCACAGTCCATCGATAGTCTCGACCCCGCCGCGCATAGAGATTCAGCTGGGCGGCCTTTTGATACAGAGTACGCAGTCTTCCGCTTTGTCATGGGTGCGAACAACGGTCAGGGCCTCTCTGTCAAAGACACAGCCATGCTACTCAAGATACTGAATTCCCATGGGTTTAGACAGGCAGCCATTAGACATTGGCGATCGAAACGGTCAATAGAACGTCACGGACTACGGCTGCTGCTTGGGCAGCGCCAATATCATAGGTCTACGGTGACGGTACGTGGCTGGTCTTCATTGTTCGTCGTCCAACACACAAACCCAATTGAGGTGAGTGATGAGGCAAGTGTAGTCATTTGAGTCTTGTCCCAGCCGCAGTGGCACTAACTGTTTGCTTGTCATGGGCAGGCCATTCTGGAGCTGTGCAGACATCCGGCAAATGCACCAGGCTTTGTGTTGCAGCCAGAGGCCGATAACAGCAGCAGTGGTGGGTCTGAGAATCGCCACAAGTACATCGACCCCAAAACTGGGACGATGTGGCGAATAGCACAGGTAACCGCAGTGGCACAGTGCCTGCTTGTTTGTGCAGCCTGCTCCAGCACACTGCCGCAACATCTGCACAAGCTCCTAACTCACCATTTCCAAGGTATCTGCCGTGCTTGGCTGAATCCTACCCTCCAGACCCTTCTCAAGAAAGGAGAGATCATCTGCCCCATCATCCTGGCATCCGACATGACGGTCCTCAGTGGTCACCAGCGTACTAAAGTGTGGCCCGTGTACCTGACGGTCGCTAACATCCCCTACTCGCTCCGCTGGCGAAAGACCGGGCGTGTTCTGCTGGCGCTGCTCCCGATGCCCGATGTGAAGATGAGTCCGCTACAGAAGGTTCAGCTCTTCCAACGGGCAATGCACGTCGTTCTGCACGATCTTTTTGGTGCTTCTGAGTGGTGAGTCAGCCATTGCTGCCCACCGGCATCTTGCTGCTGTGGGACTTAGGGCTGGGGCCTGCCTGGCGTGTGCAGTGCGACGTGCAGCTGTAGGGGGATCCTTCCATGTGTTTGCCAGTTGCATTCATCTCTTTCCCTCACTCTCTTACCCGCCTTCCAGGGGCTTTCCGCTCACAGATCCGCACGGGGTAGTGCACACGGCGTACCCTATGTTGTTCGCCTATGTTGGAGACTACCCTGAAATCTGCAAGGTCAGCTGCACGCTGCAGCTGGGCAGCGACATGCCATGCTCGGTATGCTATGTGGAGAAGGACTTCCTGTGGGTCATCCAAGATGGTCTCAACGAGCGTCGGACGGTGGCCAGGCAGCAACTGCTCTTGAACGATCCTAATAAGGCTCACAAGTACTCCACGCATCCCATAGAGGCAAGTGTTGGGGGGGTGGGGGGGGGTGTCGGCTGGAAGCGTGGGTAGGTGGGGGGGAGGGGTGGTGAGGAGGGTGAGAGGGCTAAGGGGGCAGGGGGTGGTTTTCGATGTACGAATCATAACTCGGTTCAAGCACTCGTCCTTCTCGGCGGCTCACTCTCATTCCCAAATCTCCTCGTCTCACTCACTCTCCTTCCTGAATCACCTCGCCTCACTCACTCTCATTCCTGAATCACCTCGCCTCACTCACTCTCATTCCTGAATCTCCTCGTCTCACTCACTCTCCTTCCTGAATCACCTCGCCTCACTCACTCTCATTCCTGAATCACCTCGCCTCACTCACTCTCATTCCTGAATCACCTCGCCTCACTCACCCTCATGCATCTGACGCCGTGCCTCACTCCACTGACCGCGTTGGAATGACTCACACTCTCTAATGCCAAAGTTTCCAGGCCTCACTTCGAGTCGTCATGCCTCGCCCTGATGCCTGCACTGCCATGCCTCACCTTCGTGGCCATGGCCTTTGTCCTCTATGTTTACCGTCCCCTCGGGCTTGCACCTCTCTGCCTCTTCCAGGCATCTTCCCTTTGCCATCATCGGAAGTGGATGTTTTCACATTTTCCTATCCACACGCGTGTTTCAACAACACTTGCTGGGGTGCAGTCCAGGATGCTCTCTCCCTGTCCGGCCCTGTTGTACACACCCGCATGCTCCGAATCTGGTCCCCTGCGAGACAGCTTGGTCCTCATCACTTCCATCCTCCCCCGTCCTCCCCTCACCAGTCCAGTCCTTGGTGCTTCTTGGCAGCAAGTGTTCCCTTTCCCTGCCCCAGCCCCTTCCAAACAAACTGCCGCATATTTCCTTCTCTTCCCCCGCTCACCAGTGCGACCCCGCCCCCGCCACGTTTCTCTTACAATGGTGCTATGTGCACAAGGCTTTAGCGTGCCTTTCACCATGCCCAATGGTGGCTCATGCCCCCTGCTAGCTCTGTCTTTTGATCTGCACATCTAGCACCCCATTCTCACAGCCACAGCATGGACTGTCGGTGGGTCCATTATCTCCCCCATGAATCCCCCAACCGCTGCGCGATTTCCAAATGCTGCA